TTACCCAGATTTAAACTGGAAGAAGATTACAATCTTAAACCTATTTTAAGAAGCATGGGAATGCATGATGCTTTTGAGCTAGAGGAGGCAGACTTCTCAGGAATGTCATCTGACAAGGAGCTGGCGCTCTTTGAAGTGGTTCACAAGTCCTTTGTGGAAGTCAATGAAGAAGGCACTGAAGCAGCTGCTGCCACCGCTGTTGTAATGTGTGCGTGTACCTGTGTAATGGACACAGCAGAATTCACTGCTGATCATCCCTTCCTCTTCTTCATCCGGCACAACAAAACTCGCAGCATTTTGTTCTGTGGCAGATTTTGCTCTCCCTAAGTAGGAGATGTCTTGGCAGCATAGGTGCAATCACACAATAAATTTACATTTCCCAAGAACAAGGTGACTCCATTTGCATTAATTGTCTCTTTCAGTGGTGCCTGAACCCCCTTGTGTAGTCTTGTTCATGGGCTTGGCAGAAATAACAGAGCTGCTTAGACAAACAGAGCACGTGCCATGTCCAAGCCACCCTCCACCTGGGTGCAGAGATCTGCAGGTTCTTGCTGACACAAGAACCATCCCACTTGCTCTGTGAGTGCTGCTTCTGTGCTTGACTTCACTTCTGGTGTGCAGCCGGCAGAGTCAGGCAGGGACTGCCCATGAGAGAGGAGAAGTTACTTTTACTTGTGACAAGGCAGGAGCGCATTTTGACTTTCCGTCTCCTTTTACCTTCCAGTCTGATCCATTTAGTGCCTGGATACATTGCCTGGAGCTGAAAGGAGTTTTTGGCAGCCTGTTCCAGGTTTTGCTGAGCATTCTGTGCAGATGTGGGTTTTTGTCTAATCTCTGGACCAGTACTTAGTCAAGAACATTTTTGTACCAGATGTTCTTAGAGGGTGTTTATGGGGTGAGATCCATCATCACAGGAGATCTTGAGTTTGTTATCTGTTACCTGGTTCTAGTCCTTTAACAATGAATGTAGTCTAACTGTAGAATACCAAAGACTAAGCTGAATCATCTTTTCAGACACAGGGATGTTTTTTGCACTTTCTGTTTTTGAATTACTAAAAGAACTCTAAGCGCTGTAGAGGTCTGTTTCATTTTGCTAGTATTAATAGTGCATTTTTTAACCAGTTTTCTGAAAGTCCCAATTATTTCTTGTAATACCAGCTTCTGTGAAGCTTGTTTGGAATTCAGCACTAAACAGAATATTTCTTCTGGATTGCAAAACCCAAGGTTCTTACTTGGGTTGCCATGCATTAGTGGTTGGCCTTGAAAGGATTGCAATGTATTTCAAAGGATAGCACGGGAATCCCCAGATAGTAATTTTTTTCTGGGCAGGACTGCAACACTTCCTCTTGGTTTTTTCCATAGGTTCAAATCAAGGCTTGGTGGACATTATCCAAAAGGTGCTAGATGGGCCTATCCTTTATTCAGTGCACAGTAACCCAGCTGTCTCAGGTGAAGCAAACAAAAGCATTTTTGCTTGGGGAGAGAGATGAGTCCCAACACTTTTGTCACCAGGATGCATGCCATATGCTCCATTTAGAGGGCTGGTTCTATGTACCTGACACCAATACGGGCAGTATAACTGGGGACATCCTGGAAGCCAGACCCAGGACTGTTGGAGAGCAAAGATCGTGATAAACCAAAGGAAACTCCCCATGCAGTTGCTTTCTTTGAAATGAAAAAGAGAAAAATATGAGTGAAATTACTTTGTAAAAGATGAGTGTAAATAGAGACACAGGCTGGGAAGGCGGAGAGGAGCCTTCCTGGGCAACCGGGGTGCACTTACCCCTCGGGTCTAAAACCCCTGGATCTCTTACCGCTGGCGCAAGGTGGGAGTTGTTGGTTAATCCCACTCCCGAAGCTCCCTCTCTGTCCGCTGGGACACCGGGAACACCTGGACGGGAGAGGCCGCCGGATAACACCTGCCGCTCCGCCCCGCCCCGGCGGGGTCCCCACGGGTGACACGGCGGTGTCACTGCTCAGCTCGGCTCCTTCCGATCCATCCCATCCCAACCCGCTCCGCTCCGCGCTGCCCGGCAGGTAGGCGGCCAAGCAGCCCTTGGCTGCGCTGAGGCTCCTCCGCTGCCTCTGCCCCTGCCCCCGGGCCATCCTACGGGAAAGGGACGGTAACGGGACAAGAAAGGGAAATTTTTCCTCTCCGCCTCAGCGGCGGGGTCTGCGCGGGGCGGGGTCGCGCTTCCCGGGCAGCGGGGGTGGGCACTGTCGAACAGCTGGTTTGGGTGAAAGGCTTGCGCAGTGAGCACGTGTAGGCAAACGAAAGTGAAAGTACGCCTGGGGGCTTGAGTTTGGGTATTTTTAGGGGTGTTGGTGGCCTTTCTTTAACCTACAGCTCGGTGAGAACGTCGCAGAGCTGCCGGGTGTTATTTGTCTGGCACGGAGGAAGCCGATAGTGCTATCTGGCAATCGCTGTAGAAAAACTGTGCAGGAAACACCCACATTTTGTTGTAAACTCCTCCACGCATTTGGAGAAAGCAACAAACCAAGAGTCCGGCTGCAAGCAAGCACAGAGCAGCCGCCGTCTGAGCTGGGCGAGCAGGAAGCTTGCAGAGCATCCAGCGGGTGGGGTTCTGTGCCTGACCCGGCCCTTGCGCCTTTCAGGCTGCTCCTGAGCATCTCCCCGAAGTGCATCGCTGCTCAGTGCCAGCCCTGCTGCAGCTGTGCCTGTTCGGCGCTTCGCTTGTGTCCTCGCCGGTCGGTAAGTGACGTGCAGCCCCGGAACCCCGGGCTCCCTGCCCGTGCCTTTGGGGCCAGCCCAGCCCCGGAGCTCCTGGATGCGGCGGGCAGGCAGCTCCGTGCTCCTGGCAGCGCAGGGCGGGGACAGCGGTGCTCTCCGCTGCTCAGTCAGCGTGGCCCGAAGCCTTTGGCGGGGTTAACGCCGCTCAGGGATATGGGTTTGTGGCATGAAGCCGGGCAGGTTACTGAGAGGTGTCTCAATGTCTCTGAGCAGATACTTTGAATGTCCTCTGTGCACTGTAGAGGAGCAGAGGGAATGCTGTAGGCGGGAGAGCCCTGGCCTGTGCTGGGTCTGTGAGGCTAAGGGACTTTTTGCAATCCTACCAGCACATATGCTTTCAATTTCAGATCTGCAGGAAAGGAATTTTTAAAGACAGTGTCTATAAAATTTATATGATAATGAAGGTTGGAATACATAATTCACATGGAAAAAATCCCCTGCTTTGCCAATGTGACTGATTTTCTTTTTAAGAATGAGGTGCACTGACAACGATATTCTTGCTGTTTCTGTAAACAGCTGCGTCCAGTTAAATCCAGTCTTTACTGTGTGAGTCACACAAGGTTAGACAAGGTGTTTGAAGAATGTTTCCCAGGATCCTTATCAACTGTTTTTTTTTCAGCTACAACCATGGAGAACCTGTCTAATGCCAACAGCAGATTTGCATTTGATCTGCTCAGAAGGTTCAGTGAGGCCAACCCAACAGGAAATGTCTTCTTTTCACCTGTCAGTATCTCTGCTGCTCTGGCCATGGTCCTTTTGGGGGCCAAAGGTAATACGGAAGCCCAGGTGTTGAAGGTTAGTAAAATAAAAGGGTCATTAATTTAATTTATTTTTTTTTTACATTAAAAAGGGTCGTGTTTTAGAAGAGGGAAGGTGAGATGAGGGTATTTTTATCTGTTCAGGACAAAATTTCTGCACACTCATGCAGTCATGAGTCATGCACAATGAGTCTTCCTCAGACTCTGCAGCTAGTTACCCTCTGCCTACCTTGCTCCAGAGCCCTCTGTCTCTATTTCCTATGGCCCTTGCTGCCCATTTAATTTCAGTAGTTAATTCTTGACAGAGGAAACTAATTACATTAGTCGGTATCCTTTTAAGTGGATCATAACTTCCAGCAGCAATGCTTTGTGAGTTTTCATGAGACATTTTGACAAGCTATTACTTTATAACACAAGATCACCAATGGTATGTTCATCTTTAATAATTCTGTGTGTTTTTGTAAAATACACAGTAACATTCTATAGGTGTAACAGCTATGATGATACATAGTGATGCTACCTAAGTATCAATCTCTCACTAACAGGCATTCGGATATCTCAAAGGAGTTAAGCCTGCATGGTAATCCTTACTATAGTTTTGGAGTAGGTAGGATAGTTTAAAAAAGCCTCTTTATAAATTGCAAAAATGGTGCACATAGGAATGTGCCAGGTTCCCCTGAAACCTCTGTAATGGAAGGGTCTCAGTCATTCTTATTTTTGCACCCTTGTTAAGCTAATGCCTGTAAAAAGGTGTATGAATCTCCTCATTGCAGACACCATCATGCATTTACCCATGAATAATTTCACCTTTGTATTCTGGACTTTAGGAGGAACGTTTCATGCTGTTGAGTGTTGCTATGCTTACTCAATAAAATTACTTTCCTACCCCACTTGTTCAAACAGACTTTGAACATATTTCATATAATCAGACTGACAGCCCCACCTAGGATAAACCTACTGACAGCAGAAATAATGCAAAAGGAACCTGGGAGGGAAATAAATGTCTTTCAACAAATGTATTCTCACAGGGCATGTTCCTGTGCCATAATACTTCACTTATGAACACAGTGCTAATTAAAGAGGCAGCGATTAGCAATTGTCAAGAGCTATTTGCAAGGAGACAAAAATTTGTTTCCGGGATCATAATTCTATTGTCAGGTTGCCTCTGTGATGTTCTTGCTCAGCCATTCACAGCACAACTTGCACTGAGGTGGTCGGCAAAGCCTGACTGAAAACCCAGTGAGAGAAAAAGAAGGCTTTCCTTTGAATCCAATCACTGCTTCACAGCAGTCTTTCCTAGTGGCAAACACATGATTTAAGTTTGAATATGAATGTCCCTGCTTTGGTGTAGCCTTCCCTGTCCATGAGGTCTGGCAGCTTCTGCTGTCATCATATCTTTAAACCTTGGCCAGCCAGCTTGCCTCTGGAAGAGGACATACTGGTAAAGAGATATTGCAGTAATGCATTCGATCTTAAAGCTAATACATACTTTTTAATATATATATATAGTATATAGTATATATTAAAAAGTATATATGAAGTGTGTATATATTTATGGAGTTATATTTTCATAAAATTTTAAATGATAATTGCTCTAAGTTTTCTTAATACCTCACCTGTGATAGTGCTGACTGTATATTCTGAAAATATACAACCCCAGGTTCCCTTGGGCCAAAGGGGTAACCAAGAAAACAAAAGAGTCTCCATGGCATCATCTTTCTTTTTGATTCCTCACCTGGGAACGAGTTCTTGGGCCCAGTGGCCCACAGAGGAGAGGCCCACAGAAATGCAAACAGACTTGGGGATTGTGATCAAGAGCTTCTTCATCTGTGACTCTGTATAAACCAGGATCACAGTGCAAGTGGCTGACATGGGCAGA